GATGATGGTGGCTAGGGCGTGGGATTGATTGATTTGAGTAATTAATGACTGTGATCAGCGGAAGGGGAATCAAGTAAGCATGGAGAGCAGATAGTCGGCCAAACCAAGAAGGAGGGGCAGGAGAGTGAGGAGGACGAGGAAGGAGCTGGCCAGCGCGCAAGAGTTCCGGCCTTCGCGGCGGAGATTGTTTGAGAGTGCGGCAATCTGGCGCAGCGAGGGCCCCGGATGCCAACGTAGAACACGGTCAGCACTCGCACTGACGAGTTCATAATGCGGCACGACTGCCCGCCCAGTAGAGTAAGTGGGTTCATCAGCCCCCAGGTGTGATTCCCGCGGTGGTAGGAAGGTCAGGCTTGTCACAAAGATGGGGTGAGCAGTGGGCATGCTGTAGACCTTCACCAGGCTTTGGCTCCTCAGAGAAACCCTGTGTTCAAGAGTGAAGGAGAATAGGTTCAAAACGTGCGCCGAGGAGGGTTGTAGCAAGAAAGGCGATCAGAGACAGCCGTCTCAAGGGGGTTAACGATCAGCAGTAGGCCTTAGTGATTCTCCCACGAAACGTTTAAAAAAATATAATGAATATGTCAGACCAAAAAATACCCACGATTACGCTAGTATTTAAATCGGTCGCCGATATTTTGGTACATAAAGGTCTTTGCCGAGACTACAAACCATTGCGGAGGCGCGACCTGCAAAGAAATATAATGACCACCTCAAGGATTCTGCCACTGTCTGGTCTACCTTAACTGCTCGTTGCAGAGAAACAGAAGACAACTCGGCTAGAGTGAAATATAACTACGCACTGAAATCAAAATCCAGACCATATTATTCCGTGAACGAGGCGGTCCCCAACACCATTCCAACGTCACCGTCGAATGTCGCTCATACTGGCCGCAAAAACGGGACAACCATAACCAACCCACAATCATGTAATTCCATATTAACGAAGACATTACTGAACTGTACATTTCCTACTAAATATGGCAGATGGGCGCTCGCCGATCAGGTTACGGAACAGGCTCGTTCCTCTGTGCCTTAGGGCTCATACTAGAACTCTCGCAGGCAGTCGCACAGCGACTAGTTGTAGACATAATGAGATGGTACCGACAAACAGAAGGAAGGCCGGAATGGTCATTTCTAGCTTATTAGCCGTCATCAGCCGGTCACACCCGACCCCGAATGTAGATCACTTGAGATTCGAACCCGGGATCTTTGGTCAATGGTGGAGTGTCAAACTCCATGACAAGGGATCCCGGGTTCGAATCTCAAGTGAGGCACACTTGGGGTTGAGTATGACTGGCTTATGACGGCTAATAAGCCATAAATGGCCATTCCGGTGTTCCTTGCCTTTGTTGGTACTATCTAATTTCCTACTAAGTCTTGAGTCATTCGAGTATTGAACTTTGACTGTATAACCATACCTGTGATGAGATCTGGTACCATATCGATATACCTAAATCCCCATTATGCCGCCGTGCTAAGTTAGCAGGTTTACTTTTTCTGTGGCCTTATGGCATACATTACCATCAAGAAATAAGCGAAGTGAGCATACTTCTGAATGTATCCTTTTTGGGGTAGATAGTCAAACGCCAGCTGAATAACAGTAGTCCAGGGAAACGAATATGATGAGCAGAATGTTTAACAGATCACTTCCAAGGTCGAGGACCAAAAGCAGACGTCTGCCCAACGAAAATACGTGGCAACCATGCAAGCATGGGTTTCAGGAGAATGATCACATTGTAGTCTCGTCGACTGCGACCTTTAGGGTATCTTAAAACGAAAGCACTGGGTCGAACTGGGGCACACCCTCTAGGTTATCTCGCAGCAGATACTAGGACATGACAATATCTGTATAAATTATTAAATATTCGGCTTCGGGGTGAATCGAAACCATATGCGTTGTGTGGCGGGACAAAACAAAGAAGTCAGCAGTTCGGGGTCGTCGCACGACAAAAAAATTTCAGCTCTCAAGTGTTTCTCGACGTCGCATAGTCTGCAAACATGTTACTTCCTGACTGCTACGTCCAGATTAATGGCTAGCTCCAGCTGATTGCGACCGCGTCTTTTGGGATAAGTATGCTGCTTGTCAGTATCCACTGGCTGTGGCCGGGCTAAGCGTCTAATATGTTTTAAGTGAGGATTTTCACGGACGAGCAGACTAGCTAGACCAAACCTTTTCGAAGATACCGTCAGGCCTTTAATCTGTCTGCTCTTATTTGCATTGTTGCCCATTACAACCGCATCTAATTTGAACGTGCAAGGCACTTCGAGTTAGATAACGACCGCGCGTGCGCAACGTTCGGTCGAGGGAGTAGAGTAAATGAAAACTGTTCGCGGGCGAAATACTGGTCGACGTGCATCAGCATTAATAGTATGACAATCTTGAATGCTTAAACAGTGACCCTCGATGAAACAGCAGTCCCGAAAGACGGAATCCCCGATACGACTCCAAAAACTCCAGCTTACCAGGTAGACATGCAGTAAGCGACATAATTGCGTTAGGCTTTAAATAAATGCATAGGGCATGCGCACTTACAAAAAGACATCTACGCTGCCTTCCATACTACCCAGAGCAACGAGGCCACGGGTGCGACTGGGATTCACAGCGATGCAGGCCGGCAGTTGGCCGGGTGGCAGTTCAACCTTAGCAAAGCGTTCCAGGCTTATCGGTGGAGATGGTGGCGTTGAACCAACAGGCAACATGGGAACCCGCCATACAGAGAGACAGCAGATGCTCTTGCAGTTGGGACTGATGGGCTGTTCAGTGGCTACAAGGAAGGTACTGATTACTGACGTATTGTCACCACTGCCGCCGGAATGTTTAGGCGCAGATCGATGGATCCAACGGAGGAACTCACAGTGTCGAAAGCGGGTACCAGTCTCCAAGTGAGATCGGGCTGTTGACGTCTGAGGAAATGGGGTAGAGGATGGGAGAGTACATAGGGCCTCAGGGTACACTGAAGGTGCCGGGAGAGGGCATTAAACAAACGCACTCCATGTGCCACAAAAATAAGGCAAAATGTTTCACCGGCTTCAGATTTTTGTCGGTAACGACGTGCGGCGGTCAGAAACGGCAAAATCCACTACTAGCGTGAGAAATCTACTCGATCTCGACGTTATTTGAGATTACAAGGTAGTAAGCTGTCGGGGTTTTTCATGACCCGCGGTTTAAAAGGGGCGAACGCTAATTCAGGCGTCTAGGGAAGGTCCTACCAAAATCTATCCCAATGAAAATAATAATTAGCCCCACCTTATTGTTGGATTTTGGGATCGTTAAATGCACTGGTTAGTCTGGCTCAAAGTGTGAACGTGCTGCTTCATATTTACAAAAAGTAAAACTGTCTTAACTCGCATTTGAAACCAATTCAAGCTCGTAAGATATCCATCTGAAGTCAGATTGTGAAACGAAAAATATTATCTGAATTACGGTTAAGAAGATCTTTGTTGCACACGGCATTAAAGTTAGTTGCATGAGAAACTAGCTGCGAGGTCGGCATAGACATGGAGGAAGCACATTAATTACACACGTACCTTCTGTTTGGTAACCAGAACAGAGCTCTCCATACGGAACTCAGCGTGAAGGAGGTGTGCGAGTTTACTGTCCTCGAGAGCGCTATGGCCACCGGTAACTCCATTTTCGTGCTCTGATGAACCATTACGACTCGGGTCGTCGACGATAGTAACACTCTTTTTAGGTTTCCGTTGGTGTCTAGTGGTGAGGGAGCAGTCTTCACTGCAGCTGCTGGCGATGCTGGTGGTGGTGGTGGTGGTAGACGCTGCCGAAGCCGTCACCGCGGGGCCGCAGATACGCCAAATGCGAAGCAGGCTGCCAACCGGTCGCCCGCTGATAGTGGCCAGAAGGGGGACCAACTGGATTTCCTCGGGACCCTCAGTGAATCTACACCCTGATAGGGCTAGATCACACACTGGCGCACACCTGCCGCCACTCACATCCGACAGAGCGTAGAAGGGCTGTATGGGGGAGAGAAGAGAAGCAGCATTTCATCCATCTAGACGGTTTCTGTGACTGCAAAGAACATCTGCGTGTGCATGGCGACGGGCAGGAGTTTGTCAGCGGTCTATTTAATGGAAATCTCACCTATTTGACATAAACTTTATGAATATTGGAATCTGTTGGGATTACTTAATGGAGCTGATAACTGTACGAAAAGGGCAAGACATCGCAGCAGTGTATGACCTTCATTTAGGCTATGTGAGGCCATATACTCCATTTCGCAAAACTCCAAGGAGTGGCCTGAACCGTTGTGATGCCTGAGGATAAGGCGATTATAACCACAATTATGTAAAAAGAAAATGAAGCCCTATGAAAGGCCTTTGTTTTGACACAGAGAAAGAATGCACACTAGTACGTAGACACACGCCCACGCAACCCGTAACATGATGTGAGTATGAGAAAGGTGCCGGTTACAGATGCAAGATAAGGTTTAAACAGAGCAGGTGACTGACTTGCTGACGTAGCACTTTACTGTTGCACATGCTGCGCTACTGCCAAAATGTGCTGTTTGGTGGCAAAGCAGATTGCTTGTGCGCTCTCCCTTTCAGCGGAAAAGAGAAGTGTTTCTAGATCCACAAGCGGAGTAAGTTATTTTTAAATTGTTTGTTCAGAAAGTCTTCGGGTTGAGCACAGGTATTTCACTAGAGTACATAGAAAAAAGAGGTAAAACGCCATTATTTAACAACAGGCTCCTGAGCTCCGATTATTGGGAGTGCAACGGCATTGCCACTAGGGCATGAACACATGGTTGTATTGATAACAGCTAGCGTCTACTAACTACACGTCCCGAGGCCCTCAGTGGATGTCTAGGTGATTACTATACAGTCGTCGATGCTAAAAAGTGTAGCTAGCTCAGTGGACAAGGAGGAGACCAACTTGAGGAAGATTCCAGTCATGGTGTTCTTTAGAACTTGAAACGAAGGTTCAGTTAGATAACGACTACCAAAAGAGGGCTTCAACATCCCAAAGTTCGAAAGTTTTAACAGGCCGAGCTAATAATGACTACCGAGGAAAGTAGGAAAGCAAGAACTCGTCAAAAATACCGCTGAAAAATATAACGGGCGACGAGCAATCACTCTTGGTTTATTTCTCAACGCCAAATAACCATACTCCAACCCCTAACCCTATTTGGTCGATAATACTTCCAAATCGTTGGCCGATCGCCGTTATACAACGGCCTGCGAAACCACGGTCATGAGCCACAAAGTAAAACATAATACTCATACTCCGTTTTGCAACCAGGTCGAATTGTCGAATGCTCTGCCCCGTAGCTGTTTGACGTCCAAAACATCAGTCATGAGGAGAAAAGTCATAAGACATAAGATAACACCTCAAAGTGGGATTTGTTTTCTAAAAAACCTAAATTCCTCTACAAATATACTCACCTTCATTGGAAAGGGGGTCTCCTCAACTTCATCGCAGTCACCAAAAGTGAATGTATAGGAAGAAGAGGGCATCAGCGCGGAGCTAGTAGGCAACGGCGACGATGCCAAATGCGAAGACTCCGTTGTGATGTACCGATCGATAACAGCAACACCCCCATGGATAGTGCCGATGGCGCACCAGGCATTACCTGGTCCACCGGAGGCAATACAGTTGAGCTCATCATCCATGTAGGAAGCAGAGAGTTGGCTGTTTGTGCTACTACAGCTGTCCAGTCGTTTGCGTTCAATCAGTGCGGTAGTCGGTGAAACGCTAACTTTTCTCAAGCCATGACAGTCCCAGGCCTCCTCAGTTACACAACTGTATTCGCATTTGCTAACTGAACTGGATTCCTTGGCTGCAAGTGCATCCGAGCATGGAGTAGATTTGAAAAAAAAACAATACTTAGAAATGTGTATCAATTTCAATCCAGGGAGCAATGTGAGAACGTTCCTGGGCACTTACTTCTCATTTTGTCGCTGCGTTGGTTGCTTAACAAACTGCCTGGTGCTCCATTTTGAATAACTTCCTCCGATGATGAAGAATCATCGACCTTAGGAGTAGTTGAATCCACCTTAAAGTCTTGCTCGTCTAAGTCCACGACATTAGCCACTCCCGGCGGGGAGGAATGCTTCGCAGGGCAGAATAGGTATTCCTGGCAGGTTGACCCCTCCAAAGTGAAGAGGACTGCGGCGCCGGACGAGCTCGCGGACAGAGCCATATGCATCACGGCTTCCGAATCCGTCTCCACTCCACCGATAATCTGACAGTGACAAAGACAGGTGGATCAGTGCAGGCTCATAAAGGAGCCATTAGAACTATAATTCCTGTCAGTCGTGTAATAGATTTGTCTTAGGTGGCGCTGTAAAGACAAAGGCAAGTCCCACATTCGCTATCCCCTTCATGACAGTAACTTAACGAGTAGGGAGCATGATAGAACGGTGTGGTGAAATCCAGCCAAAAAATGACAAACATAAGAACTAAGATCGCTCCCCCAAACTGCCAAGTGCAATGCGTTCTGGCTCCGAGATACAGAGCAGCACACAAATTTCCGACAGCCACAAAAACCAGTTCCGGATGTGTGTGGTTAGTTTTTGCTTTAAAATTGTTTTTCCTGTTGAGGATCTCGTAGCTCTAACTCAAACTCCTAGAAAACGTCAGAGAGCTCAACCAACAAACTCCCCTTCCACATCCTTAACAGAAAATATAACGAGGACTAATTTGAATCAGCAAAGAGTTCTCTAACGGCTTAGTTGATGAATAGGAGTGGGACGTTCTCACAGTAATCGAGTGTCACTCCAGGCACTTCAAATAAACTTGCTTGATAAAAACGTTAATGTGGTAAGAAGGCAAGTATATGCTTCGCAGAAAAGACTGGCGAAAACGGCCTTTCTAAAGCCCTTTTAAAGAGAGCATGTGCTTTTGAGGGTGAGGATTTGCAAACGTATAACTGGTGTTCGGAGAAATTCGCAGTTCCGGGACATTTTGACACGGAATCGCCTAGCATCCGGTTTTTATCTAATAAAGGCATTCACAGGTTCAAGACAGTTCAGAAGTTAAGAAACTACCCACGACAGCAAGATATGCATATTTATCTACGCACTTTGTGGAAGGCCGCTATACGCAATATGTATGCCATGAGCTTGCGTGCGCGAGGCCAGAATAGTCCCTTCTGATCTATTTGCCGTCATCAAGCGATGATACCTCAACTACAGACTGCTCACTAGAGGTTTGAACCCATGTTAAATGTGAGGTAAGATATGGTTAAGCGGCCGCACCCGATGGAGACAATACTGTTATGGGTTAGGGCAACTATTTCTCCACCACTTAAAGTGCAACTGCCCATTCCCAATAGCTTTTCTTTTGCATACAATTACTTCACCTCGTCGCCTGTGCGTTCTCCGGTCCCACCTGTTAAACCACCTATTATCACCGGTCCCGTATTGCAGGCGGCTGGTTTTTTTTTACCTCAGGTGCGGCTACATAACCTTATCTGACCGAAGATAATTTAGCAACGCTCTCACTGTTGAGCGAAGCAGTTACTTGTACTTGGTATGGCTGCAATCACGTCTGATCTAGCCGTTCTCGATGATGTCATGGACTGTACTTCTCCGCGCTTGACCATCCGCCGTAGCAGATCTGCACAAATCAACCCATTCTCTCCGCCAGCGACGGTTACTAAGTAACGACGGTCCGAGAACCACTTGCATGTCGTGACGAACTGTGTGGAGCAGGGTTTTGAATTGACCTCTTCTTCGGCGCCACCAAGTGGATAACAGTGCCGGATCGAGGGCAGCAACACAGAGCTGGTGAGGTGAACGAAGAAAAACGTGTCCGGACCATCGTAATCTTTCTTGAATAGCCTAAGATATCCCTTCGATGTTGTCGCAGAGAGTACGCACTGTCTCATTTGAGAAGCAGTCAGTGTAACTCGCTCGGAGAATGGTCCTCAAGCAGTGGTGGTCACACACCTCCAGTTTTCGTTAATCTTCCACGCGCACAGCCTAGCATTCCCAACCATACAGAGGGACTGATCGGACGGATGACTGGTACACACGATTCGTCGTAGCGATGGAGATGTTGCGTCGGGACAAAAGACACTTTCTACAGCTTGAGAAAACCTGGCAAGTGGCATAGATTCGGGAGACAATGTCCTTACTCTGTCCATTCAGCACCAGCCTCGCCCCAAAGGTATTTAAAACTGTCTACTTCAAATTGACAGACAGTAATCTCAAGAGGTGCCTCCTCCTGGTCAGGGATTTGGTTGAAAACACTTTGATCTTCCAAGCCTTTATGGATAAACCGACGGATTTAGCAACCTAATTCATCCGTGACACCATAGACTGTAGATCGCCAAAGCTTAAAGCTAGTAAAGCAACATCATCAGCGTAGTCGAGATCAGTCAGCCGGCGGCCGGGTACAAACTCAACACCGTCAACTTCGTGAAGGACGGTAACGAGAATCCAATTAATGGCGTAGTTGAACAGAATGGGGACAGGATACAACCTTACCGAACGCCAGACCAAATATTAAATGGCTATGAGAGATCGCGCGATGGTTGAGCGGTAGTAGGCCTTGATAGTTGCGATGATTTCTGCCGGCATACTATCTAGCTAAGCGCCCACGTCGTCTCGGAGGAGACCGGAAATACCCCCTGGGGACGGCAATTAAGTAAGAAAGTGGCTGTTTCAGGGTCTCTTTTCCACGTAATTGCTTCTTTATTGTAGACTCTGAAGTCAGGAGGGATCGGTGTATAACACTCATGCAATTGCACACTCCCGGACTCAGCCACAAAGTGAACAATCAGCACAGGGAGAGTGCGTTGGTCAATGATATGGACACCCATTCCAGTCTCCCTTGTACCTTTTTTAGCAATTCCTGAAGATATGAATAGTGATTTGAAGTATTTTGTTCTCGAGGTAAAGATATACAAGGTTCACACTGTAACAGTTAAGGACGTCGGGAAATCTCGCACCCTCTTATTTGCATGAAAACGGTCTTCGCATATTTCAGCAAGGATAGGCGTGCTGCGTGAAGGCAACATAGAACAAGGCTGAGGTTGCGGACGATAAACAGCAGGTGGGCGAATTGGGCGAGGGACGAACGTTATGTGGGAACGACTAGAAAGTTGGGCGTGACAGATGATAGAGTCAGGGATATTAGCCAACGTACGGCGACTGTTGGCCGCCGAATAATAGGTCTCTTAGTTTGAGGATGTCAGCAAATTCTGCGTTTTGCATATTTCTTCTCTTTCTCAAATATTGATTTGCAAGGGGACCATATATCCAAAGAGAGGACTGCAAGAATGGAATTTTCCATACACCCCTTTAAATTCAAAGCACTTAGCTTCCTAAAAAACTCGAAATTAACTCATGAGGTATGTTGGCTACGCAGTTTTTGAAAAAAAATTACCACTAATCGATAGAAGAATCTTCAAAGGAAATTTGTCCTATCATTTTAGACGTCAGTATTCGAAAGAGCATCACCTCGTAGCTAGAAGCAAACGTTTGGGTAGCCTCGATTTTCTGTCCCGAAGTACTCAGTCCCTTCTCCCTTCCCGTTAGCGCCTAAGTGTTTAATAAAGACGAGTCTCGCAGTATGCTCCTCGTAATTACTTAATCAATGTGGCTTGGACGGAGGACAAATCAGAGCCTTTACGATGTTAGCAAGTATGCATAAATGGACCGCAAGAGACTGCTGTGTACAAATAAACAAGGAGTAAAAGGCACAAGGACTTACTGAGGCTTCCGGCGGAACTATTACACTCGCACTGTTTGAGTCACCAGAAACCATTTCAGTAGGTCGAACTATTTTCACAACATCGATTCGATTCGGGACTCCAGTCTTTGATGCCCCACCTCCACCCGCAGCCAGAAGGATTTCGGAACTAACAGCTTTGAGTTGGTAGACCGGGTAGGGGAAACTGTGTAAAATAGACTTGTCTGGCATCCTCGACGGCCTCACTTTTATAGTAAAGAATCTAGGCTGTAGAATGAACGTATGATCGTGAGTATTATGGGGCATGGTATTAATGATAGAAAATGTTCAGTAACCATTCGAAGGACATGCAGAGGTTCTCAATTGTTTGTACAAATCAAAGAAATTCACTGAAGCAAAACTATGGAACCTATTCCAGAGACATTTGAGAGACAGGGGGCTTAGACAAACAATATGTAGACAGAATATTCGCCGGTCTTTTTTGACAAGTCAGGCATGTAAAAGCCTAAAGACTTGGATACGAACCTAGAAGCCAGGATGACCTCAAAACGTCTAAAGGAAACAAGTTCAGCCTATACTTTCGTTCTTCAGAACGGACAACCTTTAGCTTGACCACTAAAAAATCACCTCCCCACTCAGAAGGGTCATTGACAGGTTTCATGTGCCTATTACCAAAAAGGAATTTGTGGAAAATCCCCGTAAACTAGCACTTCCGGTGGCACAGTAACACAGTAATTGGCTGTATCCACCTTTTAACACCTCTTAAGATTATGTACCCACGATTTTATCCAAAGGTGGGCAATGGTATACAGTGTCGAAGGTGGGGGAGACAACACGTATTCCCGCACTCGACGGTCGAACAACCCGTCAAGCATTTCCATTGCGATTCGATTAGTTAAACACCCCTTTATTGCAAGGACCTGTGGCAATGAGGGTTTAAAGGGTAGTCTGGTCTACCAGCGGGAATAGACGGTCACGTAGTATTGTCAACACGAATTGGCGTACTAAAGTAGTGAAGATGATAAGACGACAAACGGGCGCAAGTGAGGCGTGAGGGAGGTCGAAGCCAGGCCAATAATACGCAAGTAAACTCAAATTTTACATCCAAAAGGTCATGTTGGAGCGTAATTATAACTTGGCCGGAGCTTCAGTAATGGTCGGACAACAGAGGCCTCCTGGAAGGGGGATCGAGGATTCGTTAAAATATCACCTCTCAAGGATAGTCAAACGTCCAAGAAAGATTCCTGCGCGTAACACGGTTTTGTTAGTCAATCCCTCTATGCACTCTACAGTCTAGCAGTCGCTTTCCAGATGCACAAATATTAACTATTGTGTGAATAATATGCACCAAAATACTATTCGACGGCTCAATAAATGCGTCGGACACGTCACAGACATTATAAACCTTAAGATAATGTTTACGGGTCACTCTTAACATTGGGAAAAAATAAACTCAGGCTCATACTCGACTAGAACGGCAGGTAGTGGAGTTGCGGGCAAATAAACGTCATCAAAAGATTTCATTAATAGCAAAATCGTGTTAGCATATTAAAACACCTTGTCGCCTCCAAAGCATACTCGCAGGGTTTTTAAGTTAATCGAACTATCAGGAGTAAACGCCTAGGATTTATCAAGAAAGCGATAATCCCCTAGTGTTTTGTTGTCTTTTTGCCAGGAACATAACAAGGCTGAAATCTATGCTAGGGATTAACGTGGAAGTAGGTATTTATGGACTGACAATTGGCAGGCGGGGTTCACAACGTCGCTAAAAACGCGTGACTAGAATTTTACCACTTAAGCCACGGGAAGGGCTTGAAGAAGAAAGGGGAAAATGAATATGAGGAAAACTGAGTGGAATTTTTTATACGTTTTACCATCCAAAAACAATTTAGTCCGTCTGAAATTCCATAAGGATCCAGGTCCTCTCTTAAAGAACGCGCACGTGAAAACTATGGCGTCTACTTTGTCTATTCTGGTTCACGGCTTGGCAACACGTTGCAAATGGTGCACCTGTTAAACTCGCGTATATATTCAAGGGAAAGCTGCATCTTTCGTGTCCTCGAACATTTGACGTGTAGTTATGTTGAAAACCGGCACGTGTATAGAATGCCTCATTCAAGTAGTCATCATGCATGTTTTAACAAAAGCGTCACGTAGCCGCATCTGCTACGCTGTGTTCGTCTGTAATGCATTCAGTCCTCGCCGTGAATTTAAATAGTGAATATCGCAAAGCATTGACGACCTGATTGTAAACTTTTCCAGACGGCATGGCTAAACAAGATACAGGGAGATCACATTCATAAGAAATATTCCGCATTTTGCTGAACACAGTCTGCGCGTGTCATCCAAATAGTTTGCCAAATAGGGTAATTGAAATGCCCACACGTGAGGAGAATTCCATTTCTGACCTGAACAGCAGTCCCTAAGCATTTTTTGCACCTTAATAGTCCGGAGGACGCGATATTTACCGGGTGAGCGGAGGATCCAGCACAATTTTAGTTCATTTAAGCCCAATGTGTTTGAGAGGAATAGGCTAACGCCTTTGAACTCCCAATTGGTCGCCTACAAATCGGAAGAATTTATAACATTGTGAGGAATCTACATTAAGAAACGGAAACAGACTTGATCTCTCACAATTTCGAATGTTTTAAAGATTGTGAAATCGCATAATCAACTTACAGCTGCAGCATTTGCCTGGCCGTACACAGACAGCACTAGCTCTGGCTCCGCCAACGGCTACTGCCGCCTGATAGGAAAACTCAAAGTTCGGTATACAATAAACCCCTAATTCCGACGACTTGTGTCTTTTCACAAATAGGGCTTCGGCCTGTTGATTGTGGCGCTCTAAGTACCTTCTTGAGGCTGAGCTGCTAAAGACTTATGTGTCTGTTATTAGTCGCCGAAGCCGCGCTACCGCTCCTGTACAGGACAGGTATATGTACCAGCTTCCAATCTGGAGCAAGTGTGCAGTGTGAAACAACGTTAGGAGGAGCATCGGCATATGTATAGAAAACTCCCTGACAAGTTATTTGAGAAGTCTGAGTGGGATCCCTCCTGTTCCTGGTGACTTCGATTCGTTCGGCGTCTATAATTCTCTTCAATCCAGGTATTCTGCAAGGTATACATTCCTCGTGCTTGGAACGGACAATTATTTTGCGGAGGGAGGAAGAAACCTTGCCTTATCTGCATAGACTGACTGGAAAAGTTGTCAAATATTCGCGACCTTATCTTTGCTTTCGGCAAGCTCAACGCCGTCGGAAGACTTTGCTGAGATGATTTTTTGTTTGTTCCTTGTACTTCTTCTGAGATAGCCGCAGAGTAGTTTCGGATTGCGCGCTGCTTTTGCAGTAAATTATCCTACAATTTCCGACAAGCTTTAATAACCATACTTCTCAGTTGGTTTCTCTGTGTGCTGGTCATGCTGAAACATTCGACTCGCCCAATGTCGCAGTATTTTCTTCACAGCTTGTGTTTCCTTTTGGTTCCGTTCTTCAGGTTAGCATTTAGCCACCCAGGCCACTAGTTCCGTCTTACACTCATCAGTGGGCAGTGGTTGTTGATGAGCTACAGAAGGACACCCTTAAACAGCCGCTGACATTCCGTGTCACACGTTAAACTTGCTGATATAGCATCTGGAGATAAATCGATCTCCTGCATTTTCAGTTCATTTAGTATGGAGAACAAACGCTGGGCATTCGTGTGTGAAAATTCCCGTTTGGGAGATTCAGCAGAACTTACTTCAGTTAGACTTGAGTTTGTCACCACTATACGGGGTAGCCCAGATCATACCAAACCCTAATTATTATTAAAGTTTGCAAATAAACTGAACGAAATTTACATCAGTTGTAGTGAAAATGCGATTCCCAGGTGGCATATAGAAGAAGAGGGGGCTTCACCAGGAGAAGTCTATTTGAGGTCCGACGTTTCGAGCAGTTTATTCGTCTACCCATCTTCAGAGACTGGGAAGTCCTGTGCACAGATCCCCTTATAATAGCGCCCTTTGTTCAATGCGTGATCCGCCAATGACGCCTGTGCTGCTGCGCCGTCGGGCTACTGAAAACCGACGAACACGCTGCAAATGCTCAGTTACAACAGCAACCACCCACTACAACACAAACGAAGCTGTGTCCGCACGCTCTACCGACGGGTGGAAACTCATTGCAGCACGCCAGCCGCCAAGCTGGACGAGATAAAGCTCCTCCGAGAATTCTTCAGAGCCAGTGGCTATCTGCGGGCATTCACTGAACGGAGCTCATGGCAGTCAAAGAAACGAAACGCAGAGCATAGTCAGTCAAATTCGTGGCGGAGCATTCCGTACATTAAAGGGGTCTCCAAAGCCGTGGCTCGATCAGTCGCGCCACTCGGAATAGGTGCTGCCTACAGGCCTGACTCAACAATCCGCCGGAAAGTGATGCGGCCAAAAGATTCGATCCCTAAGCAGGAGATGTCGGCCGTTGTCTACCGACTTCAGTGCAGCTGCGGAAGGTGCAACTACGTTGGGGAAACCGACCGACGGCTGCAAACGCGAATGCACGAGCACAAGTTGGCCGTGCGAAGGTTGGACCCAAAGTCGGAGGTAGCAACCCATGCCTCGCAAATGGGACACATCTTCAATTTTGACGCCGTTGGGACTGTGGGCCGGGGCGGCGATCACACAGCAAGGCAAGTGCAAGAAGCCTGGATGTCCACCGACCGCTCTGTCAACTGCCACATAAATTTGCCTCCCCCCTATCCGACTTTACGAACCTACTTAGCGGGGGACAGTCATGGCGCGGGACAATCGGGGCCGTCAGTCATCTCCGCGGCCGATGAGGACGATTCAGGTCACGGTGAAATGCGGGTTGGATGCAGCCACACAGGCGGCATTGTCGGCTCACGCATTAAACAAACGGCGCTATTATAAGGGTAGCTGTGGACAGGACTTCCCAGTCTGTGAAGATGGGTAGACGAATAAACTACTCGAAACGTCGGACCTCAAATACACCCCACGGTGAGCGCCCCCTCTTCTTTTGAGAACAAAATTTCACTATATAAACCCACGACAAATTCTCAAAATGTAAACCTTGTGCGTAAACCTATAGTAGACCTTATTTATATCACTTTCAATGTGCATAACCTTGTCCTCCTTTTAGCCAATTCTGCATTTGTTGTCACGTTCTTTTATTTCAAGTGTAACAGATCATCATTGCATAGAGTTGATTTAATGTTGTGAAGAAGTTTGTTGACGATCA